TTCTGCCTTCCACCAAAGGGTCTCCTTTACCACTCTAAGCTGCAAAGATTCCAGGCAGTGCTCAGTTTGCTGGTTTTCTAGGAGGCTACACACCCCCTCTTAAGTAGCTGCTGCTTCTCCTCACCTATACTCCCCCGCAAAAGCTTTACCAATCCCTAAAAATGTCTGAAGTCCCTGTAGAATTATGGGTGGGGAGTTGGTGGGTTGTAAACTCAAGTAAGTATTGGGAGGTTTGAATAAGTTGCTAAGAAACAAGACAACAAGGAGGAAGAAAACACAGAGAAGGTCACACCTGGAATAGAAGAGATATTAAGAGGCCAATTGTCTTGAATATAAGGATTCCATCTGGGAGCAGCCACGTTGCAGACACTTGGTGCAAAGTGAGCACAAATCGACTACATTCCTAAGCCTAGTTTTGCAATGCAGCCATTTCATCACTCTCCACAGGTAAGGAAGTGTCTTAGGGCAAAGGGTGTTTTCTCCAAGTGCACAAAGTCCCTTGCTCTGAGCATGTACACACATGTGCACTGTTTGTATGCACGCTAACCCCGTGGGCTGCACATAATGGCTGCAGAAATGAGCCGTCTCAGATGAAGACGCCTTCCGTCTGTCCTCCACATGCCCACACTACATCTGTGAAGACTCAGGGACTGGAAACGGGGAAGGCATAAAAACAAGAGCTGCTGATCACATTCCAATTAACCTGTAGCATCCAATTTACCCAAACCCCTAGCAGTTGCTCATTCAGGCCTTTAAGAGGGAAGGGTACACAAGAATCACGTTTCATTGTATTTTCTTTAAAAATTAAGCTGATCTCACTGAGCATGTTATCAGTGCCAGTGGCATTTCAATAAGAGGCAGAGAGACCATATATCTCAATTGCTTCCCCCAAAGATTCATTTTACCCTAGGGCCAGCGGGGACATCATAAAACTAAGGGGGGGCGGGGGGGGGGGGAGATTGAGTTCCTGAAAAGCTTTAGGGGCTGAGTAGTGGTAATTACACTGGTAATGTATTTTTAATAAACAGCCACTACTGAGATTTAGTGGGAGGGGCAACTTACCCATTTCAGTGATTTATAAATAGTTATTTCCAAATTATTTCTCATTAAGCTCCAATTACCTCTCACCATGTTTGTTATCACCAAGACCCCCTATTGGAAGATCATAAATCAGGCTAGTTGCTTCAAGACAAGCCCCTAGGAGCAGCATCAGTATTGCTATTGTGAACCACCAATGAGAACTACCACAAAGCTGGGGCTGGGGCAGCAGATCCAAGTGGGACATAATTCGATACTCTCTGGCAGTGGACACTGGGATGTGGATTATATTCCATTTCTGACCAAATCACTTCTTCCTCTTCCTCTCGAACACCAACAGTTGTTTGATAGAGTCATAATTCTCAACAAAAGACGTGAATCACATGACCTTCTAAAATGACCTTTGACCGTGCCCCTGAACCACAGCTCTTCCATTGTCAGCAAATTTGGGAGGGCCCATGATAACAGAAATTGAGGCTGCCTGGGAGGGAGGAGGGAAGGGGAATCAGGCAGCAGGCAATTCAAGGTTTGATTTGTTTTTAAAGCCACACGTGCTGTAAATCTTGAATTCTGTACCAAGTTCAGGCACTCGCTATTCAAGGAAATCCGTTTTAAATACACTTGCTTACGTATTAATATTTAATTGCCAAAGTAAATGGAGCTATGCTTATTTATTTCCATGTTTACTCGGCTACCTGAGTGCTTTCACTTCAGTTAACACTCGCCCTGGAATCATTCTTGAAAGTTAAAGGCTGTGGGTTGTTTCTCCAACTGCACTCGGAAAAATAAACTAAAACAATACACCTGAACTCTGGTTTCTCTTGGGAAGCAAAGCTTATATTTCACAGCAGGCCTTTTCTGGGGCAGCAGGGTGGAGACTTGTTTATGAGCGATACATGCATTTGGCCTAACTTCAAAGGAACCACACACTCGGTGTAGACCGAGCGGTCCCCCGGTTCTAGAAAGTCTATTTCATGGTTGGTGACCCGTGGGCCAGAAACCACAGAAGAGCACCAGCAAATCAATCATCTCTCTGCCCTCCCATGCCACTTCCGCTCCTTCCCCATCCAGGACTCTCTGCCAAGTGTCAAAAGGAGACAGACACACCTTCTAGGTCACTTTCCCCAGCCAGCCTGGGGAGCAAGGCTCCCTCTCCCTGTTTCCATCCATCCTCTGACCTTACTCTCCAAAATGAACCTCAGCCAGGCCTGCAGCTTTTCCACATCACTAATAAGATTCCTTTTATGGTCTTGTGCAAAGCAAGGGGCCCGGGACGGAGCCTGGGAGGTTGGAACCACCTGCAGGCCCCTTCCTGAAACTCCAAACACGTGTTGAAGGGCAGTCAGCATTCCCAGTAAACGTGGGCCCAGCCGGATTTAAAACGTGGCTAACCTCTTTAGCTTAAAGTTCTCCCTAATAGGGGATTAACAAGATAAACTTGCTTTACAAAAATGAAATCACGTAACAGAAGCAGCCCTTCGTTCTGAGAACTCCACAGAGCCCAGGTTTTTATAAACCCCTCTTAAAGGCATGTTTTGGGTAACTGTCTTATCTCCTCCCTCCGAGGCAGAGGGGGCACTTTAAAAAGCCAGGTCCTGTAAACGTGAGAGCCAACTCAAGCTTCCCATATACCAAAGCAGACATTCTAATTCTACCCTGTCCTCCCCACCCCCAGCCGGGAATCACAGCCCCAGCCAACGGATAGGAGGCAGCAGAGTGCACCCCATCAGACCACGCGGTGGAAAGTGTTCCCTCGGCAGAGAGCTCCCCCTCTCTCACCACCCACCCTTGCAGCACAGGCAGGGCCAAGCCACAGTCCTGGCAATGAGTCACGCCTCCTGGACGGCAGGAAAGGGGCAGAGGGCACCAACATTTTCTCCCCTTTCCTCCTCTTCTGCAATCGCACTCGTCTTCCTTCCACCCATTTCGGGATGTTGCAAGGGCCTCGCTGTGGGGGTCTGCCAGCGGCGCCCGGAGCCTCCGGAGGCTCTCAGACAGGAGGGTCCATGTCCTTGCACCCACAGTAACTGCCTCCAGTGGACCGCCACGTCCAAGTTCTGGCACGCCCGCCCCTGAAGGCTTGCGGGGGGGACCATGCGCCCTCCGGACAAGGGCATACTCCCGCCCTTCCCGGGGAAGTTTGCAAACACAGCTGTTCCAGAGCCCGGGAACCGCTGAAGTGAGGCCACAAGGCTACACCGCACGGGGGCGAGGGCAGGAAGGGACCGGCAGGGGGCGGAGGCGGCTCGGGCGAAGGCCCGGAGACCCTCCCGCCGCCCCCTCCGGCGGCTGCCCCGGAGCCCTTGCACCCAAGCCGGGAGAGCGCCCCCGCACGCACCAAACTCTCCTGGGGAGCAGGGGGAAACGGGTTCCCTCCACACCCTCCAGGAAGGACACACCCGCCCGCCCGGCCTTCCACGGGAAAGGGGAGGGTGCCAATTTGGACGTCGTTCGAAGGCCAAAGCTGAGCCCAAGTCGCCTTGCACAGCGTTTCATTGGTTCAGCGAGGATCATGTATAATGACCTCCTGGTTCGGGACGGGAGGAGGGAGGTTTACCCCGGGGCCTTCAAGTTGCAAGTTAAACCTTGCTTTCCTGGGAGCGTGGCTCCCTGAATCTCTGGGGGGGTGCCCGTTTTTCTGCTCTCTTGGCAAAAAAAAAAAAAAAAAAAAAAAAAAAAAAGCAGCGGGGATGGGCCTGCCGAACTCCACAACCCCCCCCCCCAAAAAAAAAAAAATCTTCCCCTATTAGCGGGCGCCTTGTTAAGCCAACACCCTAATATTCCTTTCGCCAGAGAAAGCAGGAGGCGCGGAGACGCGGGTTCGAACCTCGGCGCGGCCTCCCGTCCGTCACTCACCGGCCAGGCGAAACTGAAAGGCAGGACGATCCGGTTGCGCTCATTGCCGCGGCTGGCCTTGAGGTTGAAGGTGTTGCCCCCGATGACAGGAGTGGAGCCCGAGCCGAAGCTGCAGGGCCCCTCGGCCGTGACGCGGGACTGGTACTCCTTGAGGCACACTTTGAAGTACGTGTCGCACTCGTCGCGGGCGCACTTGCGGTCCCCAGGGGTGCGGGCGCCGCCGCAGCAGTGGCCGTTCTGCAGCTCCCCGTTCACGTTCTGCATGGACAGGATCTCCAACTCGAACTGCCCGGAGGCCCCGCACACCTGCCGGCGAGGAAGGGAGGGAGGGAGGTCAGCACGGGAGGGAAAAAAGTTGTTTTCTTCGAGGGTGGAAGCGGCGACTCCCACCCTCCCTCCAGCCCGCCCCGAGGAGCCCTCGGCGCCAAGTGAAAATAATTTTGCAAAACGGAGCGCAAAGACCCAATGTGATTGCCGGGCAACAATAAAGTAAAAAAAAATAATAATAATAAATGCACGAGTGCGGGAGAAATCCGACGACTGCACCGGAGTAGCAAGGGTGGAGCGCACATGCCCCCCCTGCCCAGCCTGGAGGATCCATTTAGGAGGACGGGGCGCTCCCCCAGCCCAGGTGCAGCCTCTCGGGCGCAGGGGCCCGGCCGGGGAGCTGGAGGACCGAGGACTCCTGGCCCCGCTCCTGGCGGGCGCTCCACCGCAGGCGTCCTGGTCGCCGCGAGGGAAAAGAGAGGGCGGCCGGGACGAATGAGGCCCCCGCGGACTCCTACCTTGGCTCGCAGGGCGCAGAGCAGGGCGAGCAGGAGGCTCAGGGGGCGCCCGGGCCGGCCGCGAGCCCGTGGGGACCGCATCGCTGCGCCGCGCGCCGCGGGCACTCGGGACGCCGCCGCCGCCGCCGCCGCTGTTGGCGCTGGTGCTCCTGCCGGTGCTGCCGCCGGTGCTGCCGTCGCCGCTGCCCCCGCGGCCGCCGCGCCCCGGCTCTGATATACTCCGCCGATTGGAGCATGCACGACTGGAAAACAACACCACTTTCAAAAGCCCCTTTTCAAGAGCGGCCGGTTCCAGAAGGCAGAGAGCCCGGCCTCCTTTTATTATTCTGATCGCTTCTTTAGAGGCGCTCCCCCTCCTCTTCCACCTCCCGGCCGGCTTTCTTTCCTTCTCTCGCGCTCCCCTTCTTTTATTATTATGGTTATGGGCAGCCTTTTATTCCTTTTCAGATCAGCTGCACAGAAAGAAAGGAGGGAGGGGAGGCAAGAAAAAAAAAAAAAAAAAACACCCCAAGCCCAGCTCGCGGGCCGGCCGCAGGTAACACAATGACGCGTGCCCGCTCTGCTCTCGGAGAGGGACTCGGAGAGCCCGTCTGGGAGCCGCAGCCCTGGCTGGCCACCTTTACCCAGCGCGCCCGGCGGGCGCATGCGCTCTATTAATATTCATGAGGGGCGTGTCCGCCGGAGTCACACCCCTTCCCCTCCGTGTTGCTGGGTAGGGGGAGTGCGGGGAGGAACTGGCTAGGGGATGGGGTGGGAGGAGGAGGAAGGGGTGTCCAGGGATATGGCGTCGAAGCTGGGGAACCCAGCACCTACCCCCGCCCCCGGGAGCCCTGGTCTGGCAAGGACCGGGGGGCGGGGGGGAGGGAGGGCGCAGGAAAGAACTTCCAAGTGTCAGTTGCTCGGGGACGCCCGGGGCCCTTGGCGCGGACCGCCCCCTCGGGCGCCTCGGGACGGGCGGGCGCCTGTGCCCGCTCGCCGGGACCCCAGGTGCAGGCGCCGCGGCGCTGCCCGAGCGGTCGGAGCGGGGCGGCTTCCGCCTTCCACGCCGCCTGCGTCAGCTGCGGCTTTCGCCCCCGGAGGAGGGCCTGCCCGCCGGGAGCCCGGCCCGCTCCCCGCGAGCGAGCGCGCCGTCCAGAGCGCGCTGCTGGCGGCGGAGGCCGCGGCCGAGGCGGCGGCGGGGCTGGCGCGCTGGCCGCCGTCTGCTCGCCCGGCGGCGGAGGCGACCGGGGCAGGCGCTGCTGGGAACTTTGGAAAACTTTCCCGGAGCCAGGCTCGCCGCAGTTTCGAGGGAAAGCCTCGGCCGCGCCCCACCTCCTCCCCGATCCGAGTCTGCGGAGCCTCGGAGGGCTCTCAGTTTCCTCCCCAAACCGCGCCTGGGCAGCGGCGAGGGGAAACGGGGGGGGGGGGGGGAGGAGGGGGAGCGGGCCGCGGGCGCGCCGGGGCCCTGCTCGGGCTTCGGGAAGAAAGGGCAGGCGGAGGGACTGGGGGACTCGGACTCGCCCTTTCCCCAGCCCCTCCGCCCTGGCCGCAGTGCCGGGATTGCACCTGTAGGCGGCCTCCGCGCTGCTTTCTGGGTGGCCAGAGATGAGCCTGGAAAGGACCATCTCACCCCCATCGCCCCACCACTTGGCTTCTCTGGGGGTGGCAATGGAAACAACTGCTCTCTTCCACCTCCAGGCGAGCCTCCGGTCATAATCAAGGTCAAAGGAAATCTGCGGGCTGGCGGGAGCCTCTCTCACCCCTCTTTCAGAGGACCTACTGCTGTTTGAGGGGAACCTCTTGAAGGAAAAGAATGATTTCCACTGAAGGATGGACAAAGTTTTGGCCCATGTATTACAGAAGAGGAGGGACTATTTAGGGACCGGATCCTGGCTCCAGCCCTCTGGAGCTCTGTGGCGTAACGGGTTGCAGTGGGCCAAGGAAAAATAGTTTCCGATATGCTGAGTTGTGAGAGTATAAAAGGGTGGGTCATTCGTGGTTATTTACTTAATGGGTGTCTCAAAGTGGTCAATATATTTACACAGGAGAATAAAATATGGTAACTGACCCTTTTAACACTGATTCAAAGCCAGCAAGGATGGTTTAGAATATTGGCATTTCGCCGAAACCGGTTTGGCTCAGCGGTAGAGCATTGGTCTGCGGACTGAAAGGTCCGGGGTTCGATTCCGGTCAAGGACATGTATGTTGATTGCGGGCACATCCCCGGTCGGGGGTGTGCAAGAAGCAGCTTGTTGACGTTTCTCTTTCATCGACGTTTCTACCTCTCTCTCTCTCTCCCTCTCTGTAAAAAATCAATAAAATATATTAAATAAATAAATAGAATATTGGCATTTCAACAGCTCAGGAACACCTAAGAAAGCCACCTTCTTAGAGCCACCTTCTTAATGGTAATGCATCTATCTAATGCTCATTGGTGAGAGAATGAACCCACACTTTCAAAGGGGAATTGGTTAGGGCAGAACATGCTTGTAGTTGGCATAAGGCAGTGGCAAACAGGGCATTTTGTCTTCATGTTCCCCAGGCCTCATTTCCCCCATTTATCCTAAATGTTAGGCATCTAGTTGCCAAATGTGTTCCTATATAAACTTTTCTTAGCAGTTTCCATACACTCATCTCCCCTACCGGTTCCCTCCTCACCTCTACTCCCCAAAAGCAAAATGCTGGTGCTGGAAAAAGCACAATTTATGAAGGTTGATGAAGTATTAAAATACACTTCTCTTATAGTTCCCATTACCCAAACCTGTTCAAATTCTATACACTGTAGCCGTGCCCATCCCCTCCTCCCACTCCCCCCCCCCCACACACACACACCTCCCCAGAAGGCATTATGGAACCAGGCCTTCAACTGAACAGTTTAGATCCAGCCGCCTGGCTTACCCCAAGAAGGCTACCTGAGATGCAGGTGGGTCCTGTTAGTAATCTGGACTGTATGTAAACTGGGATCGGCTCCAAGCCACAGGTGAGTTTAGCCCCCTTGACTAATAGGGGAGAGAACATTGATTTTCCTGGGGTTGAAACTACCTGATCAACCCTAATAGAAATATCAAATCACACCAATAAAATTATCATGCTAAATAGTACCCTGTCCCTCACCCTCCCTGAGCTTGGGAACCCATTTGTAGAGGGGATTCTTTTGAAAATTTTCAGTTGGGACTCTTCCACGTAATTGGTACTCCCCCAAAAAGCCAGTCCTGTATTGCTACAGACATCAAGTGGAAGCTCACCCTATACTTCCCCACAGCAGCTCTCAGCCTCCCTCCCTGCTGCATGGGGAACTACTGTGAAAAGAACTCAAACGTGCAGATTTGGCCAGGTCACATCCTACCTTTGGATGTAGCCTAGAGTAAGTGAGATTCCAGAAAACTGTCCCTGTGAAAATGCCGCATTTAACCATCACACCTGTACCTGTGAGAAGAGGAGAGGCTATAGTCTCTCTTTGCCCTGTCTCAGGTGCTCCAACCACCATCCATGGATAATTATTTTAATTTAAAAAAGATGATGCCTCATTTTTCTTTTTCCACAAAACTTGCCCTTCCTTTATTGTGTCATCAACAAGCAGCAGTGCTAAACCAACTAACGGCTTAAGAGACGTTCAAGCTGTTATTTAAATTATATAATTAGCAAAGGATGCTGATACATTTCATCAACTTAAAGCTTGGGTTAATCAACACTGATAAAAATAAGTAAATCATTATTTATTGAGAACTACATTATATTAAGCAACACGAATGATCTCAAAAATATGTTGAGTGACAAGCTAAACGCAAAGGACTGCATACTGTATAAATCCATTTGTTTTGAGTTCTAGAACAGGCAAACCTAATGTAGGTAATTAAAAATTAAAGCAGTGATTGCTTATGGAGATAGGAAGATAGAGACAGCTGGAATGGGCTTGAGGCCTCTTGTGGGGGAGGGATAATATTCTGTATCTTGAGAAGGGTTTGGGCTACACAGGTGTATGCATGCAAAATTCATTAAAGAGTTTGCTTAAGAGTGGTGTATTTAGCTGAAACCAGTTTGGCTCAGCGGTAGAGCATCGGTCTGTGGACTGAAAGGTCCCAGGTTCGATTCAGGTCAAGGGCATGTACATTGGTTGCGGGCACATTCCCGGTAGGGAGTGTGCAAGAGGCAGCTGGTCGATGTTTATCTCTCATTGACGTTTCTACCTCTCTATCTCTCTCCCTTCCTCTCTGTAAGAAAAATCAATAAAATATATTATTAAAAAAAGATTGGTGTATTTAATTTTATGTTCAAAAGAGAAAAATTGTACTCTTTGAGTTAATTATATGACGCTGAAGTGTTTAGAGGGAAGTGAAAAGATATCTGCAACTTGGAAATGCACAAGAACTAGAGGGATTGATGGATGTGTGGGTAGATAAATGCTAAAGCAAAGTAAATACTAATGATTGTCATTAGGTGGTGGGCATGCTACTGTTCACATAAAAGTCCATTTTTTTCTATGTTTGAAAATTTTCACTGTAAAATGCTGAGCAAAATAGTTATTAATGTACCAGGTACTGTCTAGGATTCAAAGAATATAGTGGACAACACAACATATTGGACTTAAGCCCTGGCCAGTGTAGCTCAGTTGGTTGGGCATTGTCTTGTGCACTGAAAGTTTGCCTGTTCAATTCCTGGTCAGGGCACATGCCCGAGTTTCAGGCTTAGTCCCAGATAGGGGGTGTGCAGGAGGCAAACGATGGATGTTTCACTCTCACATCAATGTTTATTTCCCTCTCTCTCTAAAAATCAATAAAACGTATTTTTAAAATAGCAGATTTAAGCATTACAGAGTGGAGGGCATGCTTCTCTCAGATAAAGACAGTGCAGATTATAGTAATGAACAAAAGGAATGAGGTTCCTTTCCCTTATTCCTTTCTTCCTAATTCCTTTCTTCTTTCCATTAAATAAGAGAGGAAGGTCCAAAGGGACACTTAAAATGACCTTTAAAATCTTCCTTTTTCTTTGACTATTACCAAAGAAGTTAAGGCAAGTTCATGAACCCTAGTCCACGGAAAAGCAGATGTGAGATCTTTCTGCTGCTTTCCAGCAGAACCAGAGGATGCTGATGTGTCCTACGAGCTCTTCTCTGTTCCACCAGGTTAGCGTGGCAGAAAATGCCAGCCCCAGGAACTCTGTCCAGCCGGCTCCCCATTGAAGCATACCCACCTCTTTGGATTATTCTCCTCCTCCTACATGACAAGAAGTTCTCAAGAAGAAGAAAAAAAAAGAAAACACTAACCTATGAGCAACAAATTAGACATGAAAAAAAACAACAGTAGGGTTAAGTTATAGTTCCCACAGCAACCATAACCAGGCCACAAGTTTATACATTCAAGCATAAATTGAATAGATCCAACCATTTTCACCCCATCCCCACCCCCACCCCCAAAGCTTCACTTTACATATGCAAGAGATTTAACTTAACTTTCTTTGGAAACCAGAACTATGACTTTCTTGCATTATCAACAGTAATTTTGTATGAGCTTCATTTTAAACATTGTTTTGGTTTTGCTTTGAGCTCAGGCATTTATAATTCTGCCTGTCCTGCCCCCACCCTGTCTCACAGTGATTCATGGAAACCTATCAGGACAAGGAGAGTTATGTGCCCGCGTTGCCTTTAGCAAACCAATCACTGAAAGTCA